GGAAGTAGGTCAACTCGCAGTAGAGTGGAAGTATGGTGTACCGCCACCAAACTCCGGGGGTGGAGACTGACAAAGCCCATGCAGTTACAGACCGATAGCGTTACCTTCCATACTATTCGAGATACCGGAAAGTCTGGTTACAGATTCTGTTTAGGGCTACCTAAATGGAGACAACATTGTTCACTCCACCCAACTCGGTTTCGGGACCGGTTGGTTACGTACCACGAACCTGATGACTGAATCAATAGATAGAAAAACAAGCAACCGGTTCACACTGTGCTTCTGTATGTGGCCAAGTTTTCGACGGTCCCCACACTGAACCATGCTAGCTAAACTTGCAAAACTGGTTATCACTGAACCACTCGTGGCTCCATTTACCGCATGTTCAGGGGTGAGAGAATTCCATAATGAGGTATACGGAATTCGATCAGCCGGGACGAGTGCAAGAGCAGGAGTTTCTCAAGGAGCGATCGTCGAGTCATGCCTAGTTTTACTGTTCACCGTTTGAATTTCCTCGTCCATCTTCCTGTTTGGCGATGATAATGGGGCAGTGGTAGGGGAAGGGGGATCTTGGGATACTCCGAGACGATTTACTTTAAATGAGGTTCTGGTCAATTACGAATGGTTTGAACTCCAAAGTAAATTAGTTTAAAGCGATGCTCATTCATCGAAAGCGATGAAGACCAGTTATACCCTCATCATATGCGCAACCACCAAGGTTTCCAAGGGGAGGGGCCAAGGGCAAAACTTCGCCGACACACTGGATATCAGCGCCAATTTAAGGGGAGTAGCTGCAAGGCAAACACCATCATGCCCTCTCTAAGGGGCCAGCCTGAAGAGCTAATCCCGGAATCATTCCTCATGGTTGGTAAACCCTATGTTAGACAGCACCTAGAATTATTCAAAATGATAGCACCCCCTCTATCAAAGAGTGATGCGAGTTCTCCTAAGTTGAGAAAAGAGCGACATCAGTCGTCGAAGGATATTAAGCAACCAAGTGGCGGGCTACGCTATCATTCAATAGGGTGACCGCCCAAATAAGTCAAGAGTTACCCAAAACCGACAGAACTCCATTCACATACCCCGTTAAGGGGCAAAGACTAGGGTGAGATCTAACTTCTCACACAGGATTTGTCTTATGGGCCGTTCAGTCGAAGAAAGTAGACACTGTCGTATGAGCTGGCTCATTCAAAGTACTACTGGATGAGGGCTTGAGCACAAATGGCTTACTACGGAAAACACCGGCAATGATTGAAGGTTTGCTTACCTACCACTATATTCTTCAAGCGTAGTATCCGCCATCAGACCCATCCGTTCTCCATATTTTTGCCAGTAACACTGGTCCTTCCACCAGCACTTTTCACTCCTCTTTCCTCATTCCCCACCTGACGATGAATACTTACTTTGAAATGTTTAGAAAAACAGGAATTGCGAAAAGTCGATTGACCTTGTCAGCGGATTCATCACTCCCCCAAACACACCAAGATGCGGCTTGCAAAGAAAGTATTTTGAAACAGACAGCCACTACGCATGTGTGAAAGTAAGCCTAGACGCACGAGGAAAGAAAAGGGACGGCAACGGCTAGAGGCTCTGAAGTCAACGGTTGTCACACAGGCACTGGCCAGCGAATCAGATACATGGAGTAAGGAAGCTCCCGCTACCACAGCATTCACCCAAGTTGAAATTAAAACTGGAAAAAACGGAATGATGCCAGTCTCATGATGACTGGAGATGCTAGACTCAACCACGTAAGTGCTCTTCTCACGAAAATACACAACCACCCCTGCCATCTACACCCACCAGGCACACTCTAATATGCATGTACAGCAACGTTGGCAGGCTAAGAGGGAAAGTATCAGAGATGAGGACGCTGTGTGAGCGTCAGCACTCTGACATAATATTTATCACCGACTCCTGGCTCTCGCCGGACATCTCCGGCGAGGGGATGCGTGTCACTGGCATGGAACTCTTCCGCAGGACAGGGAGCTCAGAGCGGGAGGGGGAGTGTCTCTCTGCCTAAGCTCCAGTTTAAAGGCAAGGGTGGTTGGCGATACTGCCTTAACCCAGCTCCCAGAATCTCTATGGTTCTACTTCACTCTCCACCTTATCAAATACCTGCTCTCAGTCATATATAGGCATTCTACCAGCTCCGCTACACACAAGGACATGGTCACCAGGGCAACCTCGACGACCTCCTCCACAAATTACGATTCCGCAATCATTGCCAGAGACTTCAACGCCCCTTCCATCGTCTTCGAGACGGAAGGGTGACGCATCAGGTCCTTCAATCAGAAACTGAAGCTTGGCCTCGGTGACCACGCAGTAATAATCCTCTCTGTGATTACTAGGGAGACCCTGCAACCGGCGACGCTTAACACCTTGGCTCTCTGCACCAAGGATAACCATGACACCATGAGTGACAATCTCATGAATGCTTCATGGCCGGTAGACTGGACCCATCTCACAATATACGGACACTGGTTACAGGTGGAGAAAATAATTGCTGGGGCCATCAGTCACTGTGTATCAGAGGTGGCACACAGACCGTCAATGGGTACACCATGGCCAAAACGTGGGGCAGAAGGGCCAATTCAGAGCAGGAAGCATGCTTGGTTCAAGTGGCGTCCGTCACACAGGGAGTCTGACCTTTTGAACCCAAAAGGAATTCGCAACCGCCGTGACATAATAGAGCAAAGCGACAGATTCTCCTATCAGACAAACCTGGCGGAGAGGTTGCGAAGCAATCCCAAAAACCTGTGCCGGTTCATGCCGAAAAGGAAGTCGACCACCAAGGAAGTGAACCTTATTACAGGTCCTGATAGCAGTGTACTGAGTGGTCTAGAGATCCCCGAGCTTCTCAGCTCACACTTCTAAGCCCGACTTAGTACCGACACCAAATCCACACCAACTCCTTACGACACCGTCCAAGTCATAAATAACGAATACCTCTCCCACATGTCAATCAGAGAAAAAGTGTTGAAGAAACTATCCAGGCTAAGTCCAGGCAAGCCTCCTGGCTGCGATAACCTAGAACCAGTGATCCTAAAGAGCTGCGCCGAGGTGCTTGCGAAAACAATCTGCTACCCCTTCAAGCGCTCAATAGAATCGTGCGCCATCTTTAACCCATCTTCAAGGGAGGAGACAGAAGAGGCCCTGGCAGCCAGAGGCCAAGTGCCCTACTCCCTATTGCGCCAAAAGTGTTGGAAAGCATGGTAGCTGACCCTATATGGAAATTCCTCAATAGGGAAAACACAGTGCATATTGCTCAGCATGGATTTCGGAGTGGTCGTTCATGTATCGCCACTTACAGCCACTTAATACGACCGGACATTAAGCTGGAATAACAGAGAACCTGTACATATTGTTTTTCCCGACCTAGCCGAAACGTTTGACAGTGTCCCACCCACGGTCCCGCTTCACAAGATCATGACTGCCGGCATAAGTGAACCCCCACTCTCTCGGTTCAAGGAGTCACTGGAAGGGAGGCAGTCTTGCACCAAAGTAACCAGAATAAGGTTGGAGCGGAGACTGTCGACCGCAGCAGTATCCCAAGGAGCAATCCTAGGACCTCTTCGGTTCCTCCTGTTTGTCAACGATCTGCCAGACAAAATACCCTCATCCATCCTCCTCTTCTCTGATGACATTAAAATTTAGAGGGTGATAAACGAAGAAGCTGACCACACAACACTACAAATGGACTTGCAGCAACTCGAAATCTGGTCGTCGGAAAATGGTTTGGGCTTCCACCTAGAAAGTGCAAAGTAATGCACATCAGTAATTATGGAGCAAGTGCGAATGACTTCCAGTACATGTTGACCAACTGTGCCATCATCAGAGTGTCCATGGAGAAAGATTCGGGCTGAACTTCTCCGACACCTTGAACACCAGTTCCAACTGCAAAGATCTGACAACCAGAGTGGACGTCATTCCGCACTTTTGCGTAGAAAGCTTGGCGCCCCCACCCCGAAACTCTTTTTCACCATTTTCAAATCCCACGTGCGACACCATATAGAAGTCTCCAATACGGTGGCCACTCAGCACTCAAGAGAAATTCTGATCCCCTTGAAAAGATACAAAGAACTGCAGGTAAATCAGTTGTAGAGCTAACGGGAAAGACATAAACACCCAAACCAATTCACCTTGTGTTGTCGTAGGAAGAGGGGTGACATTACCATGGCATATGAGACTGCCCATCAGGCAGACCATGCGAACAAATCAATTTCGCCTGCAACTCAGCTGTCTTCACGAGGAAAACCAATTGAGATAGCACACCAGAGAGCCGACACCATATTCAGGTCCAATTTTTCCCCCTGAGGGTATGAGCCTTATGAGATGCCTTACCGCGACATATCGTTACATCTGCCTCAGTCGACTCATTCAAGGGACGGTTAGACAGTTATGTTACCTTGCATGGTCTACCACATACTCAGGGGGTCCTCAACCTCACTAGTCCACCCTCACCTCCCTCCTATCTACCACTCACTGTCTCCTCAATACACACACACTACCTACTCATTCTTCCCAGGACACAAACCTACGCTGTTTGTTTTTACCACTCGGTCAATTCCCACATACTTTCCTCTCCTTTCATCTCTTCTGTGCCCCCTCCTTTTTTCCTTTTCTTTCTTTTGCTTTTTCTCCCACCTTATTCTCTTTTCTCTTCCTCATCACTTTCATTCTTTACTAATACCTTATTACTCCCATCCAGGCACCTACACAGACAAGAGTCACTATAGTCCCGTAACCATCCCAGCAACCCGTAGCTTTCCAGTCACTCTACAAATTACAACCTACTAACCCACAAAACATCCACCTCACAGAAGCCAAAAACAAGAAAGCAGAGGGGATTTCTTCGTCCACTGTAGAATTGAACCGAACAACTTGAACCAAGCCCTAAGAACTAGACTCCAGAGAGCAGAAACTCTCAGTTTTCTACGCTCGCACTGTCAATATTGGATATTGGACTACCTCCGAAGATATAAGCAGGCAAACTCCAAAAGCTTGTGTCCACAGAAGGAGTATAACTGAAGAAGATAAGAGCTAGAAAAACTGCAAGTTTCCTCCACGTTTACTATTGTTGTTGACTGTTGTCGGAGCTGCGGTGATTGGTTTGTCAAGATTAATTGCGCGACAGTTGGATTTGACTTATTGGATGTAACGGCCTTGATACCTTGCCCTTCTGCCCAGTTTCGTTCTGCAGACTGCCTCTTGTTTTGGATTACTACTGTTTTTTAACTTTCAGCTGACTGGTTTGCATAAAAAATTGGGTAAACACATGTTTATTTTGTTCTTTTTTACTGTAAATTAGTCCAGCCTATAAATGGTTCAAATAGTTGTATATAAATGCTATGGTAAGTTAAGCATGAACAGTAGTTGTGTAGTAGTTAGCAAATAGGAATTAGGTTTTAGGCTGTTAATTTCTGCCGATGTAGCATTTAAAGATATTGGTTATACGACGAATGTGATCACATTCTGAATAAAGATTCCAAGCTGGGTTTGTTTTCAATATCTATATGCTCGCGAATACAAATTATCAGAATAGTGAGTTAGCAAGACAAATTATTTAAAGTGATGATATTTCGGTGACATACCTACTTCTTAAGACGTTAGACTAACTACCTGCAATCTAGAAAATGGAGTTGACGTGACTAAAAGCATACATCAGTGTGCATATACACTTACATATACTCAGAAATAGTAGCATTACTATGTTCTACACCAACGGTAAGTAACCAAACAAAACCGATTGCAGTTAGTCGAACGAGAACCCGAACATTATGTAGTCATGATTGATTATGCCATTGAACCGACCAAAGTTATATCTCACGTAATGGTGAAACTATGTTTCTTGCATTCGTGTAGGCGCATTGGTTATTTCTGGCTTCACCCAAACCCATATTCTCCAGATGGATTGATAGTCTGTTCTACGTGAAGCTTCGTCGTCGTCACATTCGGTCCTCCAGATCATATTTCAGACTAAATGTGTAGTAAATTAAACCGAGTGGCACTGTTCAAATAACTCTGTTTTGGAGTATAATCACGATACTAATTAATTATATGTTTCTCGTCGACGTTTGGTTGCATTTTTGTTTACATTAGTGGTTGCGTATAGTAAAGGCTGTTTTCGTCCTAGTTGTTTCTGGGTTCACTACAACGTGAAAGCTAACCTTTATTGTTTTCTGAATTAGAATAAACCAAACTGCCGGAAATTGTAATCACCATCGGCCGTAAGCCAGTCAATATGCCGGTTCCTTAGCTTATTTCTACACGTCAGTCTTAACTGTGCATTCACTGCTGTATAAGTGAAGCATAAAAATTACATAATGCATTCAACACCCACAGTGCCAACATTTATTCAAAGTTTAGTACCAGGTGAGACCCGCAAAAATTGTCATTTTTCAGTGTAATGTGCTTTTTTACTTTCTCTGCATACTCTACTTCTTTTCTTTGTCCTATGGACGCTTCACCAAAATTATAAGGTTGCACCAAGCTTAAGTTATCGTCGGGTGACTGAGCTGTTCATCGAACTAAGTTAGTAATGTAGAAGCCAGGTGTAGAGTTTGAGGGAGAAGCGGAAGTCAATGAGGCTGTGAACCTTCGTTGACTGGGACATATGTTGCGCATGCCTAGTCACCGTCAGCATCATCGCACGATGTTGCCTGAAGTAGGTTAAGGCTGGTTAAAGGTCGCTGGCATCCAGACTGAAACATACTACTACTTCATGAAGTCTTTGTTTATTGGTGTCGGCTGTGTAGGGAAATTCAGGCTCCACGTGACAACGGAAACCAACGGTTGAAGACTAGGTGATGGCTCAGAATCAACCTAAGCGACCTAGATACTGTACCTATACATTATCTTCATCTTAATCGTCATACTGAATCCAATATTTCCTCATTCCTCCTTCCTATATTTTATTACTTTCTGCTTCTAACCGATTCTTTGTCTCTCATCTGTTGCTTTCTTGCTTGACGTACTGATATGTGTAGCAACTTGTACCGTTATGCAGTATTGCCTGTCACATGTTGTTGATAATAATGTCCGTCAAACCCAAAAACACTTAGCTTATATTATTTAAGCATGTATTTACACAAAATGAGTATCTAAGTTGTGCTAACTATCAAGTCTGTAAGTGCTTTCTAGCCTGAACTAAGTTCGAAAAAATTGGGAATCAATAAATTACACTGTATGGTGTGTGGATTAAATGTTTACACTAATACCCAACCGGTAGGACCATGACATTTTCCGTTCTTTGGGTGACTCGTAAATGGCGTTGTAAAAGTGAACCAGAAGCGAATGGGTAGTTCGCTCATTATTACCTGCAGAGGGCTTGTAATAGTTTTGAAAATTGCATTACAAGTTAGTAAAATGGGACTTACTTGGTTTTCAAGTTTTTAAGGGGGAGGGGAATGAACATTCTTGTAATCCTGTCTTTAAATCAAAGTTTAGCAACCCTAATTAGCATCGGGGTCGGGGAGTTAGATGTATCTACTTCATGTATGGAGTAGACATACCTATTAGTAGTAGTGTTAGGGTTTCAAGGTATGGAGCTCTAAGTAAACTCAAAAACAAGAATCAAGCAGCCATTGGTTCCTCTTTCTATGAATTTGTAGTCTGTTATTTTTAAAACCAATATTGCTGATTAGTCAGATATTTCGGTGTGGATATTGATGCTAAGTCGTAACCAAGAAGGAGTTTCTGATTTTGGGTCATGTCGAATCCGGGGCAACACGAAAACTTGAAGAAACATGAAACATTGGGAAACTTCGTAAAATGATCACTTATAATGTTATTTAATACAGTTTTATTGAATGTTTCGTTCGGTATTACCGATCAACTTTATACTGGCCTAAAATATGATTAGTTCCACGTCACCGAGTGGGTTGCTGAAGGATGGCAGATTTCGTTAGTTGCGTGAAGTTCGCACAGTAGACTGAAAGGTAAGGTGTATGGCTTTTCATAGCGGGTTAGACTGTCACTGTCGCCTGATTTTTCGGAGGTCTGGAAGCAATCGGTTATATTTATTTGCACACTTGTGAATTCAACCTATCACGTCCTAATCGGTTCAGTTATTAAATGTATATAGTGTCAACCAGATGACCTTCAGGGAGGAGGTTAATCCATGTGAAGTCAGGTGTACCTAAGGTTACGACCATTAGCACATCTATGACGAATTTGAATGGGAACGATGACAGTGGATATCCCTGTCGGACACCACTAGTTGTCGTCAGTTCGCATGACAGTTCACCAAGACCTTACACGACTGTGTGAGTTCGAGTAGAAAGCTTTGATTAGCGCTATATACTTGCGCGATACTCTCCCCAAGTTCACACTGCCACAACACCAAACGATCGATGCAGTCAAATGCCACCGCCTTCAGGTCAAGAAATATGACAAGTGTCGGCCGCCAGTAGGTATACCTGTGTTCCCTCCTTATCTTATAGACTGGAATGGTCAGTGAAGTTCACCAGTCTGACGCCACTAACTCCTACTCCCATACACTACGTAGTGCTTCCATCACTTCAATTAACAAGTTCTCAGCCCCATTCCTGAAAACGTCAGGTGGCAAACGTTTGAGTCCCGCTGCTTTGTATCGTCTCGAGTTCTATACAGCCTTCTCAACTTCAAGGAAAGTTGAAGCACCGACACCTGCGTCCCGTTCATGTTCAGACTGGATGTCAGACAACTAAGGCTCTGGTGGGAGCCAGTTGAACTATGCTTCAAAGTGTTCTGCCCAACGTCCTAACTCACTCCTGGGAGATTATCAGTTTCCCATCTTTTTCGATGACGGTTCCACACACCATCGTCTTCTTCGTGCCGGTATCCTAATAGTCCTGAATAGTTTCCGAGTGTTACCCAACGCTGATGCCTTCTCCATCTCTCTCTCACGCTCACCACCCACCACTACTCGCCATCAACGTGAAGACTCTTGGTCAATTTATGTTTCAGTTGCTTTCATTCTTCATCGCACTCAGAGCCAGCTTGAATCAGTCTTCTCATACCAGTCAGTCGAGACGAACTAGTGGAAATTCAATCACATTTCTTAACCTTCAGGTGTAGGTGACCGCTGTTTTTACAGGAGACTCTATAACACGTAATGTTTCATCAGGATGAGCAATACTATCATGTTCAGATAAATCCTTACGTAACTGCTCCCACAATACGTACTTGGCGTCCTGCTCTACCAATCGAGCACTGATGGGACTCACAGCCTCCTCTTTACTGTAGCCAGTCAGACGCAGATATATACGTGCCCGCAGTAGCGCCTTATCGGAGGCCAAACTGGTACTCCACAAAGAGCGACAATCCCACACCGATCCTCCTCCAATGATGTTTTATAGCAACATGATCTATCTGTGTCCATCGTTGGTTTGACATCAGCAGACACGATATGAGATACTGCCTCTTCTTACGTCTAAAGCTAGTACTGGCCAGAAACAAGTGATCGTCGGAACCGAATGGCAACAGAGGATCACCGTTGTCAATGCGTTTCAGAAACACAGCATGCACGCGTGGTTAGAGATAGCAGAGTTTTGACAAGCGATGCTTGATGTCCGATTTGTCATAGAGTTCGATTGGGCCAGCCCAGATTCCCTACTTGAGCATTAAAATCATGTCACCTGCCATTACGACTACATCTGAATGTCTTGCGTTCTGTAGCACGGTTGATAGCTTCTCATAGAATTCGTGCTTTGCATCATCCGAGCTACAGTCAATTGGTGCGTAGGTGGGGGCTATGAATAAGCATCGGTTATTCAGTCTCAAAATCCTTACTAGTCCTTACAGATATTCATCCAGTTGATCAGCACATAGATGCCTGTTTACCGGTATCCAGTCGAGAAGCGCACTTTCTGCTCTACAACTCAATGCCATGCCCATATCAGGGAGTCCATGTGACCTACTAGCAGCCATTAGGTATCCGGACACTCTTAAAGTGAATTTTGAAGACTCACTACTACGGCCAGGTGAGGTCAAATGAATAATCACACCTGGGTCCTGTATGCGTGTCTCAGAGATACAGCAGAGTTTTGACAAGCAATGCTTGATGTCCGATTTGTCCTAGAGTTTGGACGTTGAAGCTATTACATGAAACCGATAGCGAGGTCTTAGGAGACTAGGAATGAGGTTTCGGTGGCTTCGATCGTTGACAATGGTTGCATAGTGAGAGGTTGGGGAAGATGTAAGAGACCGAATATTGGTATTAGGAGGTGAAGGCGAAGAAGGAGACAGAGTTGGAGAGGATGGGTTATGTTTGGATGGGTGTTGTGTACTGCTGGAGGTGTGTGGGCGGTTGACACTTCTTGGCTGTCCACACTGTGGAAGGCTATATCATCTTAAGCTACCGAAAGAGTAGAGAGGCAACCTCTGTTATCTGTTCGTCCAGCACGGATTCTGATAGTGCCACCCACTATGTTTTTTTTCACCTGACTCAGCCTATCTACTTGTACATTGAAATTACCTGCAACTATCATGCCTGAACGCTTAACTTTCAGAAGGAGGTAGATAGTTTTCGGCAGAGCTCATCCTTCACTTTTAGCCAAACTGCAGTCAGTGAGCGTGTATACAGAGATTACAAAGAGACAAGAGTGAACTTCATTCCTTTTTAGTTGTCTTTTGCTGTTCAGCCGAACAGCGTGCAGCCGACCGTCGGTTGGGATCCAGTTGGGCAGTACTCTTGCAGCTTTAGAACTTGTTATTACACCTAAACCTCCAGACTGCGACAACCATCCATCGAATCTTCAGAGGCTTGAACGGTGACCTTTTCGGACTAATTATTTTGACTAGTTGGGGTTATATGAATAACAATACGATTGCGGTTTGCATGTCACGCAAACAATACATCCATGATGCCATATGTTAGAGTTTTGGCTAGTGAAACTTGTTAAGCGATTCGATGGAGTGTGTGGTTATTGGAAGTTCTAGTGTATAGTCCGGAGCGTGACTAGTGATGTTCCGTGAACTCATACCGTTGTCAAGAAATGCAAGGGTGAAACAAATTGGAGATGATGGGGTTATTGGTCGAGAGATGCGAAGGAAGAACAGAAGGTGGGGATGTGAAAGACGGATAGTGATCTGAAGGTACTTGAGTGCGGACAGAATTGTGAAGGTTTCCACACCAAGCTACACTCTGGATGACAGTTCCTCTCGATAATTTGCCTGAAAACGACTGATTAGTGCTTGATCCCAAATTTAAAGGACATCTGCTTCAGACCGGTGGCACACGACGTTTTTAGATGTTTGAGATTTTGGTTTCTTTTTGCGAATCCGATTATGAATTCATTCCGTTGGCACCAGTATGTCATGAGGTACAGGTGAGTTTACTATTTCTAGGGTCGGTGTTTTCTAACCCTAGCCCCTTTCCTATGGGAAAGGTGGCATCAACTTGGTGCTGCTGGTCATCCAAAGGAAGTAGCTCACTGCCGTTACACTCCAGCCTGAGTTACGACTTCGTTAGATCCACATCATAGCATAGCAACTTACACTATAATGGCAATTTTTTTCCGTTTAGCCACTATCTAACTGATTTTTGTGGTATGGTAGAACCTTGAGAGAACAAGGGTTTCATTAGCATAGGTCATTGTGAGATGCAAACTACTACCATGTCAAGGTAGCAACTATCGGTCTGGAAACCTGAGAAGTATTCCATGTAGATAATTATTAGATTTACTTGGCCTTCCAATCTCATGTTTTTTATGTTTTAATGTAGTGCATCCCTTTCTCATTCATGAATCTCGATTTGATTTTCCTAATAGACGTGTTTAGAAATGAATAAAAATTTGAATGATTTACTCATCAAAGCAACTGTTGCGGAAGACATATATGAAGCTATCAGTGATTATTATCTGAAACTGCTAGAAAGTTTAATTTGTATGGAAGAAGCTTTATCTCTTCTATCCAAAACCAAGTAATTCACAGATGTTATCATAACGGTCTGTTTGTCTTCAGTTTTATATCAAGGTGTTTTACTGTTACGTCAAATAAAAAACTCCGGTTGAGGTAAATTGATTGGACTGACCTACTTTTAGGTTATTCTGCGTGACCTACTAACCAGCGTTTTTGATGAATATCAAAACTCGCAACAGCCAACCCATGCCATCGAAGTACTGTATAGTTCAAATAAAAACAGCGATGTGGTTAGGTGCTTAAAGTCGATTATCATGCAGACATATAAGCGTCTTGAATGCATGGAGAACAAACCACCACTTCATCCAAGGTACGAACATACTAAACACTCTGTCATTTTAATTTAGCTGTGATATTTTAGCTGTGAGTGTCGCTTTATTAATCATACATTCTTCTGAAGACAAAACAGCTGGATCATGTACGTGCTTTTCTTGAGATAAATCAAAGACGAAATCATTTATTTCATCTTTCGGCTGAGCTTCAAAAGTTAAAAGTGAGTTCATGATTTCTGAGTATGATATATATATATATATATATATATATATATATATATATATATATATATATATATATATATATATATATATGGTCGGTTAAAAAGTGGATACGAAATAAATATGATTTTGTGTTATGATTGTCTGTGTTTATTCACTGTCTTTATAATCTTATTATTTCGATCAACCCATTTTATTTAGACTTTTATTCTTATAGCACCTCTTCGTTCCTTTTCTCAATGTTATTTTCCAATTACTAAATAATAATTTTCTGTCCTCATGCAAATTTAGTGATCGGTTCAATGGTAAAGCAGTCAATTCGATAGTGTTCACCGTATCTGCTCGGTTTCAAACCAAGCTCCACCTACCGAGGTTTAGGCAGCTAGATAGTTTCATAGAGACCCTCACACAATAAGTGTGCTCATCGCCTAATGCAAAAATGTGCTCAAGGTTACTCATTAAGTTTCAAATTTTCACCGTATCTGCTTTAATCCTTTAAATACAGTATTATGACTGCAGGTGAGTCACACGTCCGTAGATGTATAACACTACTTTCATCGAATATCTGCAAAAATGAAGTAAAACGCATATTATGTGCTAATCCCCTATTTGGTTTATACGGTAAATTTTCCTAGGGATTTAAATTCTTATTTCAAAGTACCAATGCAAGTAGGCTTACAATTCCTAACGTTCATTGGTGTGAATATGCTTTGGTCACAGACAACAAAAAGAACACGTTTCTCTACTACCTTGTGTATTAGTCTATACCTCAGGAAGTAGTCTTTTAAATAACTTGCTTCAGATTTGGCGTTCGGGCAGTATCTGAGTTCTCTAACAGTCCTAGGCGATAAAACGCTGTATTGAAGATTTCAAACGCCAATCTGATTCACTTCTAACCAAAGGTTTAAAACAAACTCAGCTACTTATACTCTTTTTATAATGATGTCGATTTGCAGTTTTGCATAGATTGTATTCTTTTATGTCATTTTTATATTTTTATTTCTATCATTATTTCAATGACCTGTTTGCTACTGATTGGAAATTTGGAGAGTGTAAGCCGTTTGAGTTACTGAACAATTCCTCCGACAAAATTGTGAAGTATGTAGGTAGCGCATATCAATGCGGTAAGTATTTATGAAATAGCTTATGATCCATACTTGCTGTGTGAGGACTTATGATACTGTCCAATTGCCTATGTTGAAATAAGCAGAGCAAGTTCGACCCCGGTACGGATTGTCTGGAAGTCTAGTTTTAAGGCAAATAAACCACATTTCTACACATCCACAAAAATTTCCATCTATGTGGTATCTGATTCAACCATTCTAAAAGCATACGTGCTCAGACTGTCTAATTTCAATATCCAGATATTGAGGCAAATCCAACACATGTTCGCCTAGGACTCTGAGAGCCTTGTAACTAATGTATGCTGTATTTCAGAGACTATCAAACAAAATCACACCGAAGTACTTCGAATAACTTCTGCACCTATCAACTTGGACAGCATATTTCATATGCGACAATCTAAGGTTTCTGTGGTGTTGGCACCTAAAGCAACTGATTTTCAGGTTACAGATAAACCTAGAGGCGAGGCAACACTACTCAACTGGATTCCTATCCGTAGTCATCTGTATGGTATTAGGCTAGAAAGTTCAGGTAAAATAAGAAGTAACTTGCAGAAGAATACCTCTGTCCATCTTTGTCTACGCTTCGTCGAATCGCATCCCGACTCAGAGAATGATGAGTTCAAACATTGACTAGATGATACCTATTGACTTCAACAGATTTCAGAGTTCTTGCTGAGGATTTCTGTTTACTCGTCAAGTATCTAGAATCATGAGTGTCTTTGGCGACCAATGAGATTTAATTGGTCTCAGATAATGCAAATCTGCAGCGTAGCACGGGCTGTAACCTGTTTCCGGCCAGCATCCATTCCCTTCACAGCCATCATTTCTGTTCTATTGTGCATTCTTACGTTACAGATTGCGTGTGAACTAATCGGTTGTTTTCCAACTAGCTACGTATGTCATGGGTGCATACAAGACTCATTCCGTACTCTCTTTGCGCTTTAGTGTGTGCTAGGTTCTCCACTTTTGGAGGTTATTCTAAGTAAACTAACAAGTAAGTTGTCATCAACTATCAGGGCCAGCCAGATTCATGGCTAACTAAAAGCTTTGTGGAGTGTATATGTAAAACTAAGTGTACGTGGAAGTTTCGTTTAAAACGTCGAGAAGAGGAACTGGAAACTACATGGAATTACTCCATTCATAAACACAAATTGCGTAAGTGCATCTTGAAAGGTAGCAAGAACAGCAGTTTACACAATTTTCTTGCATTAAATGACTCAATATTTCGTAAATGAAAATGAGGTTCGATAGTCATAAGATCAGACTCCACTTCATCTACTGAAGTCTAGGCAGTTAGGCAAAAACGTCGGTCATCACACACTAGGAGTAGCTCATTGCTTAATGCACGAACCTATACATTGCTGCCAAGTTGTGCGTGTTTGAGAATAAAATTGCATCCTCATCTGGGAATAACCGGAGGTTATTTCAGTTCATCTAAACTGCCGGTAACAAGAAAACTAGTGTTAATAGTCTGTTATTTAGGGTGGACGATAAACAAGTCATCAATCTTCAAAGATCTCCGGAACGATGAACGGAATAGTTTTTTCTAAGGATTTTCGTAGCCCGCTACTTCAGGAGTCTCCGTGTTGGAGTTGCATGCTTCACCGTTAATTAACCCTGAGTGACACCATCAATACGGTCTACATGTCATAACACTATGAAGTGCTACGCTGAGATAGCTGGATCCCGGCTCTCGGTATTTCACATCGCTTACGAAAACTGGTTGTATACTACGATTTTTAGATACTCATAACCTTAGTGTGGTGATTTACTAGACCTTATCTGGTCGATATGTTGAATCAACCTCCGTGGGCTCTCTGGTGTGTGTATGACAGTATTTATAGAGCCGAAAGCGTACTTCTCAAGTAGATATTAGTCAACACCGTCTGTTCGACTGAATGGGTATATAATAACCAGAAAAGGAACGATGTACTAGTTGTTTCCTATTCAAAGCTTCGGCCTACACGCCTACTGACTGCAGTTTCGATGATACCGAAGATAAGTTCTCAGGTGGTCAGGATCAACGTAGAACCTGGTATCACTGCCTAATGATCCTTGTTACCATCGAAATCGATATGCACTGAATAACCATATTCATATTTATGCGGTGAGCAATATGTCGCACCTATTTTGTAAGGGCTGGTGGTACTACATGGAGGAGCGGTGTTCGGACCCGAGTTTTTTTGCCGATCGATCTGAGCTGTGTAAGCTGAGTATCCTAGAGGTAACGACAAATATACAGATAGGCAATCAAAATAGGACCTGGTATTGCTGCGTAGTGGTCAATGTTGTTATGCCTCACCACCACATCAAGCGAAAATACACTAAGGCACAAGACAAATGAATGAGGAAGAAGGTGGTCAGAAGGTCGTGAACAGAGAACAAATAAGAAGGAAATGAAATTTCGGGTGATGATTGAGACGAAGATTTTGTATGGATGCATGTGGGCCATTACGATCAATTCCAAACCATATCAACCAAGGTCTTCAGCCACCGGTTTTGGTTGTTATGCGGACCCAGACCAGTATGTCCACACATTTTCCTACATGGTTAAGACTAGCAGTCAAAAACTTCAGGGTCTAATGTCATGTTACAGTTTGAATGTCTTTTGGCTTTGTCCATCTTGAGCATATTTCAGTCAACGGCGATGTGTGACGGGCTAGGCGTTGACCAGACATGCGTGACACATGTGTAATCCACTTGAGTCGATAAACGTTCACAACGTTATCAACTGACTTTCCTCTTCTCTCTGAAACTCTGTACCTGCCTTATGAGTTCAGCAAAGGAAAAACAAGTATCTCGCATCCGTACAGTTTACGTGGCGAATTGCTTTCAACTGTTCTTAATATACGATACTAGCCTGCGGATAGTTTTGATCAGAGTGATGCCTTCTCCAGATCATTGGTTTCTCAACACTTGCCAAACCAAAGATACCGTGATTGCAGTCATGGGAGTTGAGAGTTTTAAGAGGTCTCAAAAAATGGATTACGTAGAACAAAAATGACTTTTGAGAATATTGAAGCTGTCAAAGAATGAGATCAAACTTTAGGAACCATCGTTATTATCATTATTATTACGCCCTTACTTCTGATCGTGAATCTGCATATTGTTTCCAAGCTTCTTCTAATTGTTCTACTCCAAATCACGTAATTTATCTTAATTCTACCATGATGACTGAAACGTTTGCTCTTTCGAGGTCCTATTGTGCCTGAAAGGTCTGTTAGATAATGGTGAGACGAAAAGTAGTTACGGTTGTAGTGTGAATTGCTACGCTTTAGTGAAGATGCGAGTGCGATGTCGTATTGCTGACTGGGGTTTAAGAGCAGTAAAGTGTTTGCCTTGGATACCAGCAGTACCACACTCATGTTGCCTTCTCAACTAGAGAGGGAGGGGCTACAAAGGGTCGACTCCCAAATTGGCATACTGCCTGCCTCACGATTTTCCAGTTTCAGCAGTATGTATTTTCTCTATACGGCGTTAGGACAGTCACATCTGACAGTAACAATCCTCAAAAGGCTGTATGTGACAGGCTTCAAACAGATATGTCATCGTTCCTGCGGTCACTCAAATATTTTTCCCTTTCACCTACCTTAAAAAGAAATAGCTTTCAGTGATGTGGGCAGCCGAAGTGTCAACCGCCCGCACACATTTTCAACTCTGTCTTCTCTTTTGCCTTAACTTTCTAATACTTATGTTGAGCACCTTACACCTTCCCAATCTCTCGTTCTACAACCATTACCAACGATCAAAACCGTAGAAACCTCATTCCTAGTCTTATTAGACCGTGTCATCACTTTCATATGGGAGTTTTCAACATCTGAACTCTATGCCAAATCAGACAGTAGCATCGCTCACCAGAACGCTGAAGTCTTTAGATGTGGATATGTCGTGTGTCTCTGAGACACGTATACGGAATCCGAGTGTGGTTGTTCATTTGGCGTTACCTGCCATATTAGTGAGTGTTCAAATTTCCCAGTGGTTAGCTTTCGTGAACTCGCCTGTTTGGGGACAGCATTGAGTTATGTATCAGAGAGTGCACTTCTCGACTGCATACCAGTAAACAGGGGTATGTGTGTTGTTCGACGGGATGGATCTATAATGACTAGGAAGGATTGTCAGGCCACCCGATGCTTGTTGGTGATCTCCACCACGCACCCATCGAGTGCAGTCCGAATGATGCAAAGGATGAATTCTACGGGAAGCTGTCAACGTGCTATGAAGAGCAAACCATTCAGATGTAGTTATAATGGTCAAGTAGGGAAGCTGAGGTGATCCGATGGGCAAAGCACCTCGTTGGTATTTGCCGCGTCCTATGCCAAAGAAACGACGACGGCGATCGTGTGTTGGAATTTTGTTCCGACAGTCACTTGTTTCTGGTCAGCACTGGTTTTGAGCATAAGGAGATACCCTATCTTACATGGTGTCGGCCGACATGAAAGCAACGATGGACACGCATGAATCATATTACTGTAAGCCATCGTCGAAGTGGATCGGTGGAGGATTGTCGCTGTTTCTGGAGTCCCAGTTTTAACTGTGTTCACGCGGTAGTGTGGGCTTGTTTATATCTCGACGTTGCTGGTTACAGGAAACAGGCGATAGTAAAGCCTGTCTATGTTCGATTATAAGATGGAGATGCCAAATATGCATTGAGAGAGGAGTTAGCTAGGCATTTATCTGAAGATGACAGGAATGCTGATCGTGATGAAATCTGGTGTATTATTCAGTCTGGTGTGGAGACAGTGTTAAAGACAGTTGGTCACCTACACCCGAAGGTGTAGGATTTCTGCAACATCATCCTAACTGATTGATGCTGGAGGACTGATTGCAGCTAGCTCTGAGTATGATGAAGAGTGAAAGCAAGTGAAATGTAAGTTGATGAAGAGTCTTCGCAATGATGGCGAGCAGTGGTGATTGTCGCGAGTGAGAGAAATGAAGAAGGCATGATTGTTAGGCAACACCGAGTAACTGTTAAGTCTTATTAAGGATACCGGGAATAAGAGGATGATGTTGAGTGAAAGGAGTAGCGAAAAGGATGGCATCTTGATAAGGTGACACATGTCTAATCCACTTGAGTCGATAAACGTTCACAACTTTATCAACTGACTTTCCTCTTCTCCCTGAAACTCTGTGCCTGCCTTATGAGTTACTGACTGGGTAACACCATGAAACGCGGCCTATGCTACGAAGACAACAGTGGTCGGACACTTGAAGCCTTTTCATATCCTCTTCCTGTAGTGGCCACGTTCTTCTGTTCTGGAACAAGGCAAACTGTACCACAGTGTGCTCGGTCCTTTATGGGTAGTCGGATTTCACGACGCTGTAATCAACAGTGCGAGTTTACGAAGAACAAGCATATTTCATGCATCCGTGCACAAATTTCGTCAGTCACGGTCCTGTACCGTAAACGTTTGTAATCCCGGAAGTGGTTGGAAGAAGTGGAGGTGTTCATTATATGAAGTGGCACCGTGGGACGAATGAAGGGAAGTTGTTTTGGGTTTTCATTTTTCTCTGTGTTACATTTTTAGTCTACTTATTGTTAATTATTTCATTGATTGTATATCTCGGTGTGTATGTCGTGCAAAGTTCACCTTTTACAAGTAAATCAATAATACGGGATGATGATTGGAGATGGAATGTAAACCTTGTGCTGCAGGGTTGAATAAGAACTCGACCACAAAGCTCAGTTGTTATAACTTCAATTTAATTATTGAGACTTTAACTCAATAGTTGGTTTTAGCGCTAGGTTGGCAGATCGCTGCTTGTTTTATTTTTAATGCCTCCTTGTTTTTCATATCACATTTGACCATCGTTCAATTTCAGTAATACTAGTCTTCTCAACCACGACTGTCTCATGTCGCTATTCTAAAATGAATGGCTAAAATACTGAGAGCCATGGTTTATAGGTTTCCTGCAGATGGATTTCACGTTCACACTCACATTTCAATAGGTTTACTAGTACTAACCCACCTTTTTGACCATTTTAAGAAAACACCTTTTGCAGAGCGCATGAAGTGCGTATTGCTCGCGCATCTAGTGGCAGTGAAGTCGTTTTATTTGGTGTCTAACCTTTATATGTTCCTTCATGCTGCTATCGTTTTTAGAATACCTTCATTTTACAAAGTAAAAATCATATGGCTCTCAAGCTACTTTTGGAAATTTATGTTGAAGTAGTCACTGAACCTCGAGTTCCTTGTCAAATTGTTTACCAGTGATCAGATCTACAGCATTCATATCTGTGGCTAACTTATTCAGGCGATACATTTCCAAGTAACTTTAAATGTAGTTCGATCTGCTTGAATGTAGGTGACATTGCAGTGACTGTATCCATCTGATCTGACTCGTAACAGTTGTTTTTTGGGTTGGATTTCAGAAGTTGGAGTCCCCTTCGACTGCTTTCAGTTGCTTACCACACCACATAATGCTGATTTTCCCCTCTAGTTCCTTGTCTAGGCCACTTGTTATCTGGACATTGGCACAGGAAAATTTGTTGTACCCTTGAGGTATTGAATGTACAAACGAGGTACAATAGTGCACCCTTCCAAGTTGCCTCAGTAGAATATCAAAGTGAAAAAAAGGGAAAATTAATAAAAATAATTATGTCAATAGTAAGGTACTAAAGGGAAAATGAAGTGAAGTTAGTGAAGACATGAAGTACATTTTATCCAGCTGCAGATGGATATTCACGTTAAACATTTTTGAGCCAATCCAAAGGTGATGAAAATGCACAATTGGGAAGTATGCTGTATCATCAGACGGTGTGAAGAAAGACTTACGGCACGGTACGCATTATTTGCTCAGAAATGGGGGCTTTAAATAGGTCACCAGGAAAATTGCGTAGGTTTTTTCATGTGTGATTCTAGTTTGCCTTTTAAGTGACCGGACGATACTTTGTTTTCGTAACCATACAACGAGAAATAACGTTCGTATCAGTGCATTGTTCATAAAATTAGGATTTCTTTAGAGAGTACTTTTCTCTTGTACACCGCAGAGTAATAGAGTTCATTTGTAAAAGCTACACTTCAGTGAATAAATCTGTACAATACAGAATGTGTAGAACAGTTGGTTTCATCGCTCACATTAAGATTTGGAAAGCCTTTTCAAGTTCTCATTTTAGCTGGCCTGGACATCCAGATTGAAAGGGGTAAGTGTTTCAAGAGACATTTCTTTGAGTTTCAATCATGCTCGTAAATATAAGGAGTTTTTATTTGTTTTCAACTCAATGGAAAATCATCATGATATGCGTTACAATGGTACTCTCTCCATTGTTTTTCAGGAAAATGTGCTCAAAGAAGATAGCACATTTCAGAGTGATATAGAAGAAAAGCTTCATTTGATTGAAGTGAAATCGAAAATTGAATATTTAGAACGTCGTGTTCTAGAGCTGATGTCCAGAGTAAAATGTAAGAAAGAGTATGTTTCCCGTGTCAACTCCGTGGTAAGCAGGACGTTTTAAAACTTTCATTCCGCTAAAAATCGCATGTTACTTTTTTTTCCACATATTTGACCGAAATGTGACCAGTCTTACTAAACAGTTCATTGCATGCAATCACCAGTAGAGTATACAGAAATGTTAGAATAATAGCCGCTGGCTTACCTAAATACTAGGAGAAGTTGGCTTAGGTTGGAAGAAGGCTCAGAGTGATTAGACCAAGATGTGGTACCAGTAGACTTAATGTAAGCCATGTACTGATGTGTAGAGTACCTGGCTGAGTTTCACGATACCATAGGAAACAATGGTTACAAAATCTTGGTGACGTGACTGAAAATGGATCACAATGGCGCAGATGTATTCACTCTTTGATATCTTCCAAAGCTGGAATATTTTCTCTAACCCTTTTCTTCGAATTGTTTCTTCTCCTATACGCCTTTTTTTTACTTTGAAATTAGTGTTTCTCTGTTCACCTGTTTTTTGTGTAGTACTGTGAAGTGTGGCAACTGGGACCGATAGTGTTCTGTGCGAGGTTCTACGTTGATTTTCACCATTCTTGCTGTTTTGAAGGATTTAGGTCTTATTCTGATAACTGTTATAATAACTACTGAAATAACCGATTAGGTTTCTTTATTTTATGGGGAAAATATCCAAGCGAAATCCAGAAATCTGATTAGTTATTTCGGTAGTTTTCAGGATGGCTTTTAGAGTCACTCGAAGGGATCATCTTGTTAATTATAATCTTCATGTTTTATGTGATATGATATTTGATGCCCAATGCGTAATAGCATGAAAATAATAAACGGCCCGAATCATACGTCATACGAATTATTTTTAAATTCTGGTTAAACAGCTACCGAAACCGACTAACATAACTAACATTAAAAAAAAAATTCGGTTGAAGTTACAAAAGTGGTACAGCCCAGTACCGGCTTCCTACAAATAACATCTTGAGGGTTATATTACTTTTTCCAACTGGAGTTGTTGTATTTCGATATTTCTATAAATCAAGGAATCCTGTGTGGATGGTACTTCTCGAAATTTTCATGATATTAAGTAAGTCAGCAGAATATTCGTCAATAAGATAGATACGTTGGCGATGTAGCCATCAAGTATTAGCATCCAGTCATATCGAATCGAATTTTACTAGATTCGGTATTCATTGTAACAGATTTAGTAGGCATATAAACCCTATATTCACTTTAATAATAAATACTTTCAGATAGAATGTTTCCTAGTTCCGAATGAAAGTGATGGATGCTATTATCCAAATATTATAAACGTTTGTTATCAAGGGTTGTTTCCGTTATCCAATACTTTTCTCGCTTTTTGTTTGAAAACTAAGGCAGTTATTTGGAAAAAAATCGCTTCCTTGCATGAAGAAAATGAAAATCTACTGGGCAATCTACCTGTGTTATGTTCTGAGGTAAGTTCATCTTGTGACTTCCAGTCAACAGAATGAAAGGTTTTTATTCACTTATATTTTCGGCAGCTTCTTCCATTGGGGTTACCATGAGTTTTAACACTGTCAGAAGGATTCGAGCGAATATTTCAAGAAAATTTAAGTGTAGTAACTAAAGCAGTCCTATGCAATTTGAGATTGCTCTAGTCGTTTTGTCCTAAACGTACTTAAGAAATTCCACCGCTCCTTGTCTAACCACATGGGTTGACTCCATCACAGTAGGCTCCGTAGTAGACCTAGAGTCGTACGCAGCTGATATAAACTTGTTAGGTGAAGACAGACAAAATGCAGAGTCTTCTGAACACCTTGAGTGGTAAATTTTAGAACGCTTGGGATGCGTTTCTCACCATTCGAATGCAAATGGTTACTCTGGAGCCAAATTACGGTGGTGTTTGGCTGACAAAATCGTTGAGCGCATTGACTAGTTCACTTACTTGGGAAGTCGAATCATCGCTAGTGGGTGGTCAGTGGCCGATGAAATTTGTGCCCGGATGCATGAAATATGCTTGTTCTTCGTAAACTCGCACTGTTGATTACAGCGTCGTGAAATCCGACTACCCATAAAGGACCGAGCACACTGTGGTACAGTTTGCCTTGTTCCAGAACAGAAGAACGTGGCCACTACAGGAAGAGGATATGAAAAGGCTTCAAGTGTCCGACCACTGTTGTCTTCGTAGCATAGGCCGCGTTTCATGGTGTTACCCAGTCAGTAACTCATAAGGCAGGCACAGAGTTTCAGGGAGAAGAGGAAAGTCAGTTCGTGAAATTGTGGAGCGTTATCGGCTTAGATGTAATATTGAGAGCTTAACTGATTTCCACGGAGTGTGGCATTTAGGTGTCTTTATATTTGTGTTTGTACTGTTTGTCAGTGGTTTTAGTCTATCATGTGTGTTTGCCGGTAATGGTATACTATGGGAACATGAATGCATGTAAGAGGAACTAAGATCCCAGAACAGTAGATTGAGCGGGTGGCAGGCATGCACGATATATTTGTGTAACACTAAAAAGCAATCGAAATTGGTTAATTCAACCTGAGAATAGAACAAGTCAGTGTAATCTTTCCGTAATTTATAATTATACCGTTTTTAACTGGAATATATAACTTGGAAGAACTTGAACTGTAATCGCAAACCCATGAAGGTTGGACAAGTGTTATCGTTCGTATGTTTACACAATCCAGTAGTTCAAACAACCTCAGTTATGGAGTATTAAATATCGCTATTTGCAGTAGCATTATCACAGTAGTATTTAAAACGGTTGTTGCATCAGTAGGGTTAAATTATAAGACTTCTAAGACACTGATATAAGTACTTTATGTAAACTAAATTTGGTCTATAGACGAAATGGTATTTTCAGATAGTGGAAAATATTTGCGGTTTAAGAGGATGATTTTGATGGTGTGTCCTTTGAGCTGAATTGTTTATTCGTCTTCTGCAATTAGCTTTTATATAGTCGATCTCATTGGTGCTCCTTTTGTATGTTTATAGAGTTTGCCGTTTTATTGAAAATACATTATTAGGCATAAATTAATTAATTCCATCCAACCTGAACACTCCAGTTGTGTGTATCCCGAGAGGTATGTATCATTGGTGGTTAAACCATCCAGCTCTTAAAAACACAACACTATCAAAACAAAGTGTGATCAAGCGCACTGACCTGGCGTATCCAGTCGTCACAGTAAGGCTTAAAATACATTACACAGTGAGATTGTACGACTAGTTTATACAGTCTTTTTTATATCTTGTCAGGATTTAGACTATAAATCACAGCAAAGTAATAATTTGCGTACTACATCGGGATTGCAGTGCCTCAATGAACACTCACTGATAAGAATCTGTTATGCTTAAAGAAGTTCACTTTGTTACAGATTTATTATTCAGATAACTTACTTGAAAGTATTTGACCTGATACCGTTTGCATAAGATGTGGGTTTGAGTCTCAGTGGCAACAACTTCAGTCACTGGGGCTCAGGTGCATCCAGCTGACGAGTCCCAAAGAAAACGAGATACGTGTCCACATTTTATTTTCACTGATTAACCTGTTTTCCATACTCACCAAGCTGGCTTTAAAAACTACGTGAGGCTTCTAGTTCTTGTGAATCGAGTCGGTAGTATGACGAACTGAGGTAAAAAATTTTAGATAATATTTATCTAACCAGAAAACTTATTGAGTGATAGGATATAGTTTTCTTTATTATATTTCTGTAGTCAGTTTGAGTATAATCCTCACGAATATCGATATTTGTTCTGTTCATGTTAACTAAGTTGTTTTGTGTACCTTTATTACACCAGACAAAGCAGTACAGACATCAGGTCTCCTGTCAACTAGTTGATTTTCATGAAGCAGCGAATGAATTTCTATCAAGCGACTTATTGCAGGGTGTTGATGATCACTTTCAAACTCCATCGAATGATGAGACACTTCCTAGGTAAGAATTTATATTAAAAAAACTGATAATTATACCTATGCTTTCCTTATTTTTCTGAAGTACTACCAGTTTGATCGAATGATTCTTTAAAGGCCTAAATTTCCCAATACTTTATCTCAACTGCCTTCTTGGTGTGAAGATGTTATTTGAAAGCGTCGACCAAGCGGTGTGATATCATTGTCACAACAAATGTGATACACATCAAGTCCATCAACTTTTTAAAGGTAGTATACCTGAACACCTGTGATCATTTCAGAGCTCGTAATGAGCCATACAGTTGAGTGAATACATCAGCTTGTTTCGGTTGGGGATTTTCACTGCATTTTTATTGATTTAGTCTAGTCCTACAGTTGATCAAGAGCTTCTATATTTTGGATTAGAATATGCAGATAACAGCTCTAGTGACATTCAGAATCTGTGAAGCATGTTGAGTAACAATTTGAGAATATTTGTGGTGCATTTCTTATTACTTCTCTATTGATAGCGTTTCTAACAATTGTCAGTGAAGTAACTCAGCAAACTGACCACTTCACTTGCCTAGAAATTTACATTAGGCTGTGTTTTTCTCTAATCACCGAAACCTTGGGATAGATACAAAATGCGATTGGCTTTCGCCATAGAGATCAGTTGTGCCACTATTGTGGTATGCAAATACCTACTAATCATTGATTTAACTGTTCAACAGTACACTTTTATCTACTGTATGGCTGTGAAAACGTAACTACTGAAGGCAAATACTATGAAATAGCTCCTGATTTGTTAAATTTTTTATATTGAGAATTAGAGATCTTACCATATTTTATCTTCATAAGAATCGCTACGATATAAGGCACGTTAGTCAATGGTTGTGATATAACAAAAAGCTCAGATTATATGTTGGTCCTAACTATGTAGGAAAGTATAAATAGTCTGTAAACTAAACCTTATTCTTATCGCTTTTTGATACTTGTAATTCTCCGGTGTTATACTGGATCCAGTTGATAGACCTCCGGCATATGAGCTACTATTCGGATGCTTCGATATTGCCTGGGTGTTTTTTGTTCGTTTGTTTAAATTTCTGCGTGAGTCCCTCCACTCATTTCGTAGTTAAAGAGTTAAGTAAAAACGTCTGGACAGAAATATAGTGCCATTCCAATCGGTGTGACTCACCTTGCTATATGATTCTCTACTTGGTTGCTGAGTCACATTGGATTCGATAATGTCGTCTCCTAAGTTAGTTGTTTGCTTCTTGTCGTGGAGTTGTCGCATTATAGAAATTTGAGTACACTAAAAAATGAATTTTTTCTTCTGTCATCGATGACAAAGGCAGCCTAAGGTTATTGTGCTAACGTCTATATATCTATATGTATCAACTGGTGACAAGGGATTATGACAAACGTTTCTTCTGATCAGATTAAATATTTAATAGAGAGAAGACTTGTACAAACAACTGTGAGAATCATATGGTCACTAACTGAAAAGCTGTGAACTCTGCAACCAACATCAACACATTCAATTTGATCAAAAGGAATACTTCTCATAGTCCCTATCGTCAGTTTAAATGCCGTCAGTGGCTGATATAAGTTTGAAATGTTGAAAAATAACTTGAGACTCCACACTTGATGGTTTCTCAGTTTCTGAAAAAAAGAAAGAAGTGGTAAGACGATAAAAAGTTTTTTGTCAAGTCCATATGTGCGCAAAAGGTGATGGTTTATGTGTGCTTTCAACGGCCTCGGTATTTCCTGCCGACTTTTGGTCGATCTAAAGCTCACACAATGATCACGTAGTTTTTCACGAGTGTTTCATGATTAGTTGTCAAAACTTTCAGGGAATTCTGGGCTTCTTTGAGAAATCTAGGAGGCAATATTTCACTCCATAATAGAAAATGGTAAATTTACTGTGTATACATTCCATTTTTTATTTTGCTGTGTTGTGTATTCTCTGTGAAGAACGCATACGCTTTAACTGCACGCTGAAGAATCTTCATATTGATGACCAGTTATCGACACTTCCGCTTTATATCAGAATAAATGATTATCAATAAAACTGACCCACCTATTATCGATTTTCTTACATTATATCTACTGCATTTATTTCCCTATTCGCGTTTCTCCAGTAACGACAACTTTGTTCGAACACTTCAGTGCGATTCTCTGTATAGAAGATGTTGCATCCTGTTTTCTTTGGATCCGAATATTACAGTGAGTTCATTCGTCTTTCATTTATATGTATCACTCTTCTGACTTTATCACGACTGCCCTCTAGTTACGTGGACTTTTAGAGCATGCAGGAGATAGATTCCTATTAGGTGAATTTGCTGACAACATGCAGAATGTAGTGGTCGCCTTAAGTTGCTCTGTTTACTCCCCAATTGTACATTCTTACCTAATGAAGATTCTAAATGAGCGGCCACTGGTAACTGACTAATTCAATTATCTAGGAAGTCATATCATCCCTGTCTGTTAATGAACTAACTGAGAAGCAAAGTTTTGTTTCTCAATTATGTACCTTGTGGTGTCACCGAGACATCCCATTACTTATAAGCAGCTAAGTGTGCTGTAGAATAAATCAATGTCAGTTTCCTGGTTGGCATCCCCATGACCGATCGAAAATGAGACGTGATAGCTCCCGGCTGATAGCTGCTACCATAACGTCGTGGTCGGGCGTGCATCCCATAATGGCTCAATGGCCTATGCTCTTAGAACGCCTTTTCCCTAGAGGTCCTACCATACTACAAAGGTCTCCTGCATAGATAGTGGCAAGACGACGAACAGTTACTGTTACAGTGTCAATTACTACACTACAGTGGAGGTTTCAGGGAAAAGTCATGCTAGCTGAATAGGATGCGACAGCTGTAAGGTGTTTCTCTTGCATGACCAGGAGTGCTACACCGATGCTGCCTTCCCAACGCGAAAGAGAAGCTAGAAAAGGTCATCTGCAAAAAGGACACACCTCCCTGCCCCATCGGTGCTACCGATTCTCTCTACCCGACGTTAGAACGACTAAATCTCGAAACAACATCCAGTAAAAGGCTCTGTGTAACAGGCATTAACCAAATAACCAATGGACTCTGCGGTAACATACATCCCTTTCTTATTTGGGTAGCTTAAGATGTAAAGCCTTCCACAGTGTGGACAGCCAAGAAGTGTCAACCGCCCACACACCTCCAGCAGTACACAACACCCATCCAAACATAACCCATCCTCTCCAACTCTGTCTCCTTCTTCGCCTTCACCTCCTAATACCAATATTCGGTCTCTTACATCTTCCCCAACCTCTCACTATGCAACCATTGTCAACGATCGAAGCCACCGAAACCTCATTCCTAGTCTCCTAAGACCTCGCTATCGGTTTCATGTAATAGCTTCCAACGTCCAAACTCTAGGACAAATCGGACATCAAGCATTGCTTGTCAAAACTCTGCTGTATCTCTGAGACACGCATACAGGACCCAGGTGTGATTATTCATTTGACCTCACCTGGCCGTAGTAGTGAGTCTTCAAAATTCACTTTAAGAGTGTCCGGATACCTAATGGCTGCTAGTAGGTCACATGGACTCCCTGATATGGGCATGGCATTGAGTTGTAGAGCAGAAAGTGCGCTTCTCGACTGGATACCGGTAAACAGGCATCTATGTGCTGATCAACTGGATGAATATCTGTAAGGACTAGTAAGGATTTTGAGACTGAATAACCGATGCTTATTCATAGCCCCCACCTACGCACCAATTGACTGTAGCTCGGATGATGCAAAGCACGAATTCTATGAGAAGCTATCAACCGTGCTACAGAACGCAAGACATTCAGATGTAGTCGTAATGGCAGGTGACATGATTTTAATGCTCAAGTAGGGAATCTGGGCTGGCCCAATCGAACTCTATGACAAATCGGACATCAAGCATCGCTTGTCAAAACTCTGCTATCTCTAACCACGCGTGCATGCTGTGTTTCTGAAACGCATTGACAACGGTGATCCTCTGTTGCCATTCGGTTCCGACGATCACTTGTTTCTGGCCAGTACTAGCTTTAGACGTAAGAAGAGGCAGTATCTCATATCGTGTCTGCTGATGTCAAACCAACGATGGACACAGATAGATCATGTTGCTATAAAACATCATTGGAGGAGGATCGGTGTGGGATTGTCGCTCTTTGTGGAGTACCAGTTTGGCCTCCGATAAGGCGCTACTGCGGGCACGTATATATCTGCGTCTGACTGGCTACAGTAAAGAGGAGGCTGTGAGTCCCATCAGTGCTCGATTGGTAGAGCAGGACGCCAAGTACGTATTGTGGGAGCAGTTACGTAAGGATTTATCTGAACATGATAGTATTGCTCATCCTGATGAAACATTACGTGTTATAGAGTCTCCTGTAAAAACAGCGGTCACCTACACCTGAAGGTTAAGAAATGTGATTGAATTTCCACTAGTTCGTCTCGACTGACTGGTATGAGAAGACTGATTCAAGCTGGCTCTGAGTGCGATGAAGAATGAAAGCAACTGAAACATAAATTGACCAAGAGTCTTCACGTTGATGGCGAGTAGTGGTGGGTGGTGAGCGTGAGAGAGAGATGGAGAAGGCATCAGCGTTGGGTAACACTCGGAAACTATTCAGGACTATTAGGATACCGGCACGAAGAAGACGATGGTGTGTGGAACCGTCATCGAAAAAGATGGGAAACTGATAATCTCCCAGGAGTGAGTTAGGACGTTGGGCAGAACACTTTGAAGCATAGTTCAACTGGCTCCCACCAGAGCCTTAGTTGTCTGACATCCAGTCTGAACATGAACGGGACGCAGGTGTCGGTGCTTCAACTTTCCTTGAAGTTGAGAAGGCTGTATAGAACTCGAGACGATACAAAGCAGCGGGACTCAAACGTTTGCCACCTGACGTTTTCAGGAATGGGGCTGAGAACTTGTTAATTGAAGTGATGGAAGCACTACGTAGTGTATGGGAGTAGGAGTTAGTGTCGTCCGACTGGTGCATTTTAGTTATCATCCAGTCAAGAAGAAGGGAGTGGAATCGTCTTGTGACAACTATAGGGGAATTAGTTTGACTAATGTATCCCAGACAACCTCGTCTGGTTAACTAGTTCACTAGTTACTAGCCGGTCCTAAGCCCGGGTAAAGAGGGAAGGTTGGGCATAGGCTACCAACCCTACCCCGTAAAACAAATCTAACCGCTAAAGAAACTTCAAAGCACAAACGAAATATAAAAAATAAAAACAAAATTATTCCTCGCTGGAATCGGAGAGGCGAAATGACGCCAGTTGGTGAAAGACTTCGAGAAGCCAATTGGCCGATGTGTCTTCTCTCCCTCGATGAAAGCGAAAGTAAACGTGGGGACATGGAATGTCCGTACGATGTTTGAACCCAGCAAGGCAGCCCAGATTGCAAAAGAGATGCGAAGGTATCAGATTGAAGTGCTTGGAATTTGCGAAAGCAGATGGAATGGGAGTGGACTCTCCAAACTGTCAACTGGAGAATCAATAATCTACTCCGGTCACCCAAACGACAACCACGAGCACACTGAGGGAGTGACTATCATGATTTCCTCAAGAGCATCGAAGGCTCTCATGCAGTGGGAACCAATCTCCTCCAGGATCATGACAGCAAGATTCAACTCAAAGGGAAGAAAGGTCACAATCATACAACGCTATGCGCCTACAAATAATACAGATGAAGAGAAGAAGGAGGAATTCTACAGACAACTGCAATCAACACTGGACAAGACACCGCCTCAGTTGGCGATATCAAAATTCTAATGGGCGACATGAATGCCAAACTGGGTGGGGACAACACAGGAAAAGAACTAACCATGGGTCGAGAAGCGCTCGGTGGGGTGATGAACGAGAATGGAGAATTGTTTGCAGAATTCTGCGCATTCAACGATTTGGTGATTGGAGGTGAGGCAGTGTGTTCAAGCACAAGGATATTCACAAGGCAGCGACATGGATTTCACCAGATACCAGGACACACTAAAAATCAGATAGACTTTATCTCAATCTCAAGAAAATGGAGACGCAGTCTACTTGACACAAGGTCAAGAAGAGGAGCAGATGTAGGTTCAGACCACTCACTGTCTAGTGCAAGGAACCTTCCAAATCAAGTTGAAAGCCTTCAAGGAAGCTGGTGATAGACCGCAGTTCAAGTACAACACTCGGAAACTGAAGGATGAAACTACAAAGGAGATCTTCACGTCAGCCATCAAGACAAAATGGGAGATATCGAGGAGCATCCCTGAAGAAACCTGTGTGGAAGAACACTGGAAGTCTTCGAAAGCTATGTGGAAAGAAACCTGCACAACAGTATTAGGAAGGAAGAAGAAAGAAGACAAGGAATGGATCTCGACGGATACATGGAAGCTGATAGAGGAGAGGAGGTTGGTAAAGCAGAAGATAAACCAGTGCAAGGATGCTCAACGACAAGAGGAACTGAGCACAATGTATAAAACACTGGACAAAGAAGTGAAGAAGAGTGCACGCAAAGACAAAAGACACTTCTACGAAACACTGGCAAGTGAAGCAGAACAGGCTGCAGGTAGGAGAGATAGAGACCTGAGGACATTGTATCCAATAACCAGGTTGCTATCTGGGAAGAGATCAACACAGATGAAAACAATAAAAGATGATGAAGGAGATATAATTACGAAAGGAGAGAAACAGAGGAAACGATGGGCCGACCACTTCAAGAAGCTCTTGAATCGACCACCACCACCACCACCACCTGCACTTCGTCCAGAAATACCACCTGCAGCCGCTGAATTACAAGTGAACATAAATCCTCCAACAAAAATGGAAGTCCTGAACGCCATAAAGCTACTGAAATGTGGGAAAGCAGCAGTACCAGACGGGATCCCGCCAGAAGCACTGAGAAGAGACGCAGAGACAACAGCGGACATGCTCACACCACTATTGCAGAAGGTGTGGAAGGAAGAGAAGGTACCTGGCCATTGATTGGAAGAAGGGTTACGTTGTCAAACTGCCAAAGAAGGGAGACCTCAGTGTTTGCAAGAACTGGCGCGGAATCACTCTCCTGTCCACCCACAGCAAGCAAAATATTAAGCCGCATCATCCTGGAGAGGCTTAAGGATGCACTGGATTCGAAACTACGACCGGAACAGGCAGGCTTCAGGAAGTACAAATCATGTGCAGACCAAATTGCAACGCTATGCTACGCATCATCATAGAACAGAGCATAGAATGGCAATCAGCTCTCTACCTCAACTTCATCGACTTCGAGAAGGCCTTTGACAGCGTCGACCGAGAAGTAATTTGGAAACTGCTTCATTACTACGGAGTACCGCAAACCTTTATCCGCCTCATTCAACAACTATATGAAGATGCCACATGCCAAGTAATTCACAATGGGAAGCTCAGTGATGCTTTTGAAGTGAAGACAGGAGTGAAACAAGGTTGCCTACTATCCCCCATGATATTCCTGATTGTGGTGGACTGGATCATGCAGCAGACAACAGTGGGGAGCTGTGAGAAGAGGGGGATACGCTGGCTGGACTGCGGAAAAGAACCTAGAAGACTTGGATTTTGCCGATAACTTGTGCCTAATGTCACATAAACTTGGAGATCTACAGGCAAAAACTAACAAGTTGGTAGAAGAGGCAGCGAAGACGGGACTTCAAGTGAATATAGAGAAGACAGAGGTGATGAAGATACCCACCCAACCAACGCAACCACCACCAACAACAACAAACTCCAGTCACCATCAACGGGAGAAACTTAAAGGAAGTAACCTCCTTCACCTATCTAGGAAGCACTGTTTCAACTACAGGCGGGATAGACGAGGACGTCAAAGTCAGCCAGGATCGGAAAAGCAAGACAGGCGTTCATTAGCCTGAAACCAGTGTGGAGATCTTCTGCACTCAGCATGTGGAACAAGATCGAAAATTTCAACACCGACGTCAAGTCAGTGCTTCTGTATGGTTCAGAGACTTGGCGCGTCACGAAAGGGATTTCCAATAAACTACAGACATTCATCAACAACTGCTTACGCTCGCTACTGAAGATTAGATGGATTTCCAGAAAGAATAAGCAACAAGGTGCTCTGGGAACGAACCAACCAAGAACCTATCACCCAACAAATATGGAGGAGGAAGTGGAGATGTATTGGGCATACACTGAGAAGGCCGACTGGGGACATCACGCGTCAGGCCAGTCACTCAAGTGGAATCCCCAGGGGAAGCGACGAGTTGGGTGTCCCAGGTGAGGGTGACATGGAGGAGGTCGTGCGAGGAGGAAATGAGAGCTTGTGGGCAGTCGTGCAGGGAGGTTCAAAAGATCTCAGAGAACAGAGGTCACTGGAGGCGTGCTACTGAAGCCACTAGGAACCCAAGGGACTAATAACAATAATAATAATTTACCCAACCTTGCGAAGCGGTCTGTAGAAACATCTAATTTGGGTATAAAGATAGAAGTAACCTAGTCAATTGACTACGTCACCTACTACAGAAGTTGCTTTACTCTTGATGACGTGATGACGTCATATTTCTTGACCTGAATGCAGCGGCATTTAACTGTGTCGATCGTGAGGCGTTGTAGTAGTGTCTGACTGTGACGGGGGTACTGAGCAAGTATGTAACACTAATCGAAGCTATCCATCTACTCGAATTCATGCAGTCGTGTAAGGGTTTGTGGAGAGTTGTCATATGAATTGATGACGAGCGGTGGTGCCGCCAAGGATCCTCACAGTCACTGTTGCCATTTATCTTCGTCCTGAAGGTAATCTGGCCTGACTTGAAGTATGCAGATGACATTGTCCTACTAGGTGAACCCGCTGAGAAAATGCGTGGTGTTCTGAAATCTGGGTATACTTGGCATGGATCTAGCTGGGATCTTTCAAATGTAGGATGTTGCTGCATGACCGATCTGCTGCAAGTACTCTCCGTTTAATGATAGGGAGTGAAGTGATGGAATGTGTCAACCACTTCACTTGTTTGGGGAGTTCCATCAGCTTGAAGGGGTGGTTTCTGACGGAATCTCAGCTGGGATACAGAAGGCCCAGTTTGCATTTGCCAACTGGCGTCGTCTATGACGCCAACCGAAGAGATATCAGACTATCTGTCAAATGATGAGTTAATTGCGTCGCAGTCCGTTGTGTCGTGTTGTTTGACCGTGAGTTAAGTCTGTGGGGCAGTAGGTAAGATAGGCAAGTTGATTGATGAGGTTGTGAACCTTCATTGACTGAGATGGCTTGAACATATATATTGCGCATGACGAGCCACCGCTTACCTCAACCTGCCATGCATGCTTCCTACGGAAAGTTTATGACTTTTCTTGACATGTCTGAAAGTGGCGCAGTTGTATTCACTGTTTGACATCTTCTAAAGTTTGAATATTCGCGCTAATTGTTATCTTTAAATTGTTTATTCTTTCACAAGTTTGTTATCACTCCTCTTCTATCCCTTTGTTTTTTGTGTGCTACTGTGAAGTGGGACAGCTTGATCCGATGCACTTGTGTGCGAGATTTTATGTTGTTGTTGTCCGTCAGACATGATGGCTGAGAGTTGATCCCTTTATTCCCACCTGTGTCCTATTTTACGCATATGATTTTATCTTATAACGTCAGCCGGTATTTTTATCTTTCTTTTAGTGTTAAGATGTGGCAACTTGGGTTGTCATACAGTTTTAGCAGGTCCCATTTTGAAATACCTTTTAGGCATCAAAGTTTTTGATCAAGTAATGAAATACTGTCAATTAGCTTATAATACCAATCGTGTTCACCATGCACATTTTCCTCGCTGTCAGTTTTCATAGTATTCAACAAGGAAGCCATTCCCGTTATCATTTTTTCTTGTTATTCAGCACTTAAATTGTCCATAAAACTTAGTTAACTTTTGCTTCATTTTTCCAACCTACTATGAAACCAGTGTCAACAATAGGAGTGCGTACACTGAAGTATTTCCGATCTTATTTCGTACCACCACAATAACAAGTGAAGGTTGGATTTAAGATAATTATGATAAACTTTCTTTAGTTTAATTTCCTAAAAGGTTGATTTTCATGCGTACTCACTCCTTATTTTCATGTTCGATTCAAGTTAAAGTTGAGGAAAAACAGTTTTCAGATGATTAAATCAAGGTAATGAATAGAGGACTGTAAAACAGCTGCATGAAGTGTGCACTTTGCATAGCCACAACCATCTAGTGTATAGAATCACCTTCCTGACATTTGGTGCATCTGTTGATATGATGTACTGAAAGATGTGTGGGATAAAACTCATCAGCTCTTAAAAGTTGAGTTTCGTAACTTTTGCTGTAATGTCAATAATTCCTAAATCTTCATCATCTTAGTATTCGATAGCTGTTTGCATTCAAGAAGCTCAATTCATTCTCTTAGTTTAATCTCTATCGTTAATTTTTCTTCATGGTAAGTGTATTTCTAAAACACAGGACCGATTTACAGCTTAGCCCATTCTTGAAAGTATATGTTAAGAATAGTGAAGATTCTGTTCTTTTAGATGACAGCTCAGATCAACTGTTTTGGATGTCAGTAGACAAACATATCCGAAAATCGGTTTTAAATTCAAATACCCCGATGATAAACCTTCTGGTTGCACTGTGCTTGTTTAATCGTGAAAATAAATTCGTTTTTTGCATATCGGCGCACATTACGTGCTTGTAAGGATTACGTTGTACTACACGGTTGAATAGGATTAGCTCGGGAATTTTATACAGTATATGACTTTCGTTTTTTTGTACGTTCCATATCAGATTTGTTTATTTGATATATGGAGCTGTATCTTGTTTGCCTTGGATTAGAATAGATGAAAACAGATCGCACACAACATGCCGTATAATCTTCTGATAGTAATTTGCATTACTTGTGTATCCCTTGATGCTTTGTTTCCTGCAAACTATTCATAAGTTTCACTGACAGAAAATTTCCTGCTTATCGTTGGCTATAAGAAAAATTTTATGCAAATGATAAAGGTGAGCAAACATGGAAATATTTACTGGCTTCCTATTTATGTTACAGATGCCGGATGTATTACTAGAAACTGTTTTGAACTTGGTACAAAATTTTAGGCGAGCTGAACAAAAACTCACACTTTTGTCTGATCTAAATGATAATTTTAACAGGAAGTGTCTTGATGGTCAAAAAATCCAAGGTAAGATGAACATATAGCTGACCACTATTTAGGATATTGTTAGTTTTTTCTGCATTCTGTGGTTTGAAACTGTTACTACTGGTTTAATGAACATGTTATAAAAAAATTAGTTTGTAGCATAATCTAAGTACTTTACGGTTCAAAATTAATGTAGTACTCCAGGCAGCTGTTTCAGCAGAAAGTTTTCTTGTACACTTTGATGCCACTGTTTATGGCTTCAAGAAAGCTGCACTTCAGCAAGAGTAGTTTAATTGCTGAAAATAGGTATCTCTAGTGGTTTTATCTATTAGTTTCCTGTGTATCTCGACGTAATCGCAAAATATACTACGAATTATTTTCGACGTAGAGTGTGACAACTGTATGGTTATTACTGGCCCTATAAACCAACTTTTTAACTTGTCTATGAAACTTTCGCATAGTTCTCGCGTTACTTGTTTCTGTAACTATAGAGTTAAAGATATCTTAAAAGTTCTTTTGCATTCACTTATTCTTTGTTGTGGGAAATTACTGTTTTACTACTAGAGCAGGACACTAAAGTTCAGAGAAAAACTTCAAGGCGTTTAGAACCTGTTTTAACTCAAGTGAAGGCAAAAGTTGAGAAAATAAAACAGCATATATCATTCTGCAAAGGTTTCCTTTCTGACTGGTAAGTTATTAATAGGATTGAATTCATTCTTTTCTCAACACTAGGAAGGAATTACCAATCTGTCAAATGATGAAGAAACAACCGAGTTAATCGTGATCAAAGAACTTGCTAAATATTCTCATTGGAAAAACGTTTGTTATCCACAAAGTACTTTTTTCCTACGATACAAATACACTAAATACCTTACTTTTGTTTATTACTGTTACCGATTTAGTTGTTTAAAATTACTATATTATGCACTAATGACCATACGAAGTATTCTCACAAGTGTATTCATTTTGTTGATTACAAAAACCGACTAACATGTCTAATTAAATCTGCGGTTTGTTACGTCCTTTGCATCATCTTACTTTATTTTCACTTATTTAAGAGCGTTTCACAAAGTTGATTTGAAATGAATGTTTTTGGCAGATGTATGGCTCAGAAATATTCGGTCTTTTGTAATGTCATAAGTAAACCAGTCATCGCTGGCAAACGGATACTCAATGCATCTTTAATCGCATGATAGAACAGTGTTTAAAATGTTGATTGCTTTAGTAGAGACAAGTTGATTTCTTGCAGGTTTAAGACTAAGCAAACCCACATAGTGTCTATGGTTATTCACTGAACTTTCTGGAATTGTAATAATATGTAAGTACCACCAGGGATTGTAAAGTAGTCGGATTACTGATTCTTGAACTACCATTTAGAGAATGGATGAGCAGGTTTTATAACGAAGTATTTCTGAATCTTCTTATCGACAAATATAATCTCGAGTTGGTGTGGTTTGCAGTGAATGCCAGGAAATGATCAGTCTTTAAGCGTTCGGTATCACATGATGCTCGAAAGATGGCGATCTCATATAACGTCAGTCCACATGGTTGTCGTTCACCCACTATCTGTCTGCTACAGGATTCGGAGTGACGAAGTTGGGACTGAAAATTGATATGGCTACGAGTGCTGATGATAAGTACCAGTACGACAGTGGCACATAAAAACAGTGTTAATCAACGTGTGTTCCTACGCAGTGCATCGCCAAATGCCTCCCTAAACAGAGTAAACGACATATGCTTATAAAAATAGCTGCAGGAACAGAAAACAGCTACCTAACAGAATAGTGGTGAATTTCTTTTTTGGGAAGTACAGAAAAAATAAATAGAGTTCATTCTCAGATTTTTCGATTAGTCATCATCGGTTGAACTAGAAAGGGACCGCCTTCCACGAGAACGCAGGCGTTCACGTATGATTTCCAGGTGTTGCAACAAGTAGTTTTGTGGTTTTGGCGTCATGGCTATTGCTTCCAAAAGACAAGACTCTGACTGTTCCAACTCACCTTCATCTGCCAGAGCGACGCAGAAGTTGTGCTTCGCTTGAATATTGGTAGGGTTTAGTTTGAGAGCCTGTTCAAAATACTGAGAGAAGGAAGTAAAAAGAGTGTTATTATCTGCTTGGGCAAGGTAGCATTTAGAGAGATACAAAATATCCGTAAACCTACCTGTTTTGCTTGCTTTGTGTTAGCCTTTTCTGTCAGTTCGATATCACCGAGAAGTAAGTATGATTTCATATGTGAAGGATGAACCTGAGTCAAAAAGAAGAAAGTTCTGCAGTTTTTGGCAGCGAAAATGGTGGACGTTAGTGTCACAAAGCGACGCTATTTTCATTCAAAAACAAAGAAAGTGCACTATGTAGAGTTGGACGAGAATGAAGGTTAGAAAGCTGCTTCATGAAATCTGTAGGAGTCCAGCACATTCGTGGAGTGGTGTTATGATGGGTTACATTTCTTATTTTCAGCAAAATCAGCCCAAAGGTTTGAATGCCTGTCACTCCCAACATACCTTATTCACCGGACAGTTTCGCAAACATTCGAACGATGCACATTACCCAGAAGAGTGAGTAGATCTCATCGAGTAAATAATACTGTGCTCACTGTGTGCCATATCAAGTAAACAAACCTAATATAGAATTACATTCTACCACATTAACCACGTTTTACACATATTAATAAAATGTAATCATATTGTAAACAGATGCATAATTTTTAATCTCACACTAATTTACTGAATGAGCTATATTCTAAAGCGAATAGTAAGTTTAAATTTGAATTACTTGAATAAGGTGAAGGGCAAGACTGCTAGCATCATTCGGTTTTCCAAGTTGATTTCGATAGAGCAGAGCTAAATTAAATAAGGCGCCTTTATGATTAGGCTCCAGCTGGAGAAAGACAAAAAACAAAAGTGTTGAGGAAGTGTATACACAAAAACAATATAATGTTAACCAAAGTGATGGGTAGTAAAATCTTGGAAGTAGTCATCAACATGAGTGAATTTATTCCAGTTTCTTCTCTAATCTAGTTTTTTATCGATGTCTCACTTCGTCTATATAACATTGAAATCCTTCTGCATGAAAAAAACTGATTTCTTGTGATGAGTGTTTTCAGTCTTGCTTAGTTTCATTGAATTCACCCTTTTACAGACAGGGACACACTGAACATTCGCAACTCTAAGAATGTTTTACAACAAGGGTGCAAGTCCACCAACATGTTTTTCCACAAATGTGAATAATGTTCCTTTTTGTATCGAGAAATTGATGTAGATGGTGGAGAAGTGCATAAGTTGAAGTCGATGGAAGTACTCATCTCCCATCGAAGTGGGCGATGGCTTAGCACGTTCAACACGTTCAGCTAATCCTAGTCGATATCTAAGATGACACAAACGTACGTATTCTGAAAAGCTAGGAGTAATCGAGCTACACTTGCATTAGGTGTATCAAATTAAAGAACAGCCTATTCAATGTATCTTGCATCTCATACTTAGATTTTGATATAGGTTGTGCTGCATTTTTGCGACTGATTATATGAATAATAAGGCTCACTTCTGACTACTAGTAGAGCACACATGAATGACCGAAATAATTAACAAAAGGTTGTAACAACTCCAATTTTACCAGAATCTAACAGCACATATACAGTCATTTTCAACTTGGAAGGATCCATTACCAGAAATATCAATAGATGTATTGGTTAGTTACTTACAAGAATTACTTCTTTGTAGTGTTCAGCTGCTTTCACATAATTCCTTTTATCAGTTTCAAGCATACCCAAAGCAAAGTGTACTTTGACCGGTTCAAAGTTTTCTTGACTAGACTTTCATAACTACGAAGAAAATCAGGAAAAAGAAAGGTTGCTTGGGGGTTGAAAAAAATAAATGTCACGCTTGGTCTGATCACTGTGTGAAGTGCTGAAGCTGATCCATCTGTCCTACAATATTTGTGGTGTGCGCACAGAAAGACTTTCTATCGTTCTACTGTGAACGCCGCAAAAAACAAATAAACAGGAAGGCAAACTGTAACAGAAATGATCTTAGTAGCTAGAAGAAATCTGCCTGTCTTCCAAACTAAGTGAAAGCCACACTTCAATTCACAAACTTCAGGATTTGATACCCTACCCATATAACTCGTACTTGATCTTGAGTATACAGACGACATAGTTCTGTTGATCGATGAGTTTTAGTGTCTGCTTTGTTGAAAAATAGAGTATTTTGATATTCTTTCCCTATTTACCCAACCTAACCTCGCCTGGTTAACTAGTTCACTAGTTACTAGCCGGTCCTAAGCCCGGGTAAAGAGGGAAGGTTGGGCATAGGGCTACCAACCCTACCCCGTAAAACAAATCTAACCGCTAAAGAAACTTCAAAGCACAAACGAAATATAAAAAATAAAAACAAAATTATTCCTCGCTGGAATCGGAGAGGCGAAATGACGCCAGTTGGTGAAAGACTTCGAGAAGCCAATTGGCCGATGTGTCTTCTCTCCCTCGATGAAAGCGAAAGTAAACGTGGGGACATGGAATGTCCGTACGATGTTTGAACCCAGCAAGGCAGCCCAGATTGCAAAAGAGATGCGAAGGTATCAGATTGAAGTGCTTGGAATTTGCGAAAGCAGATGGAATGGGAGTGGACTCTCCAAACTGTCAACTGGAGAATCAATAATCTACTCCGGTCACCCAAACGACAACCACGAGCACACTGAGGGAGTGACTATCATGATTTCCTCAAGAGCATCGAAGGCTCTCATGCAGTGGGAACCAATCTCCTCCAGGATCATGACAGCAAGATTCAACTCAAAGGGAAGAAAGGTCACAATCATACAACGCTATGCGCCTACAAATAATACAGATGAAGAGAAGAAGGAGGAATTCTACAGACAACTGCAATCAACACTGGACAAGACACCGCCTCAGTTGGCGATATCAAAATTCTAATGGGCGACATGAATGCCAAACTGGGTGGGGACAACACAGGAAAAGAACTAACCATGGGTCGAGAAGCGCTCGGTGGGGTGATGAACGAGAATGGAGAATTGTTTGCAGAATTCTGCGCATTCAACGATTTGGTGATTGGAGGTGAGGCAGTGTGTTCAAGCACAAGGATATTCACAAGGCAGCGACATGGATTTCACCAGATACCAGGACACACTAAAAATCAGATAGACTTTATCTCAATCTCAAGAAAATGGAGACGCAGTCTACTTGACACAAGGTCAAGAAGAGGAGCAGATGTAGGTTCAGACCACTCACTGTCTAGTGCAAGGAACCTTCCAAATCAAGTTGAAAGCCTTCAAGGAAGCTGGTGATAGACCGCAGTTCAAGTACAACACTCGGAAACTGAAGGATGAAACTACAAAGGAGATCTTCACGTCAGCCATCAAGACAAAATGGGAGATATCGAGGAGCATCCCTGAAGAAACCTGTGTGGAAGAACACTGGAAGTCTTCGAAAGCTATGTGGAAAGAAACCTGCACAACAGTATTAGGAAGGAAGAAGAAAGAAGACAAGGAATGGATCTCGACGGATACATGGAAGCTGATAGAGGAGAGGAGGTTGGTAAAGCAGAAGATAAACCAGTGCAAGGATGCTCAACGACAAGAGGAACTGAGCACAATGTATAAAACACTGGACAAAGAAGTGAAGAAGAGTGCACGCAAAGACAAAAGACACTTCTACGAAACACTGGCAAGTGAAGCAGAACAGGCTGCAGGTAGGAGAGATAGAGACCTGAGGACATTGTATCCAATAACCAGGTTGCTATCTGGGAAGAGATCAACACAGATGAAAACAATAAAAGATGATGAAGGAGATATAATTACGAAAGGAGAGAAACAGAGGAAACGATGGGCCGACCACTTCAAGAAGCTCTTGAATCGACCACCACCACCACCACCACCTGCACTTCGTCCAGAAATACCACCTGCAGCCGCTGAATTACAAGTGAACATAAATCCTCCAACAAAAATGGAAGTCCTGAACGCCATAAAGCTACTGAAATGTGGGAAAGCAGCAGTACCAGACGGGATCCCGCCAGAAGCACTGAGAAGAGACGCAGAGACAACAGCGGACATGCTCACACCACTATTGCAGAAGGTGTGGAAGGAAGAGAAGGTACCTGGCCATTGATTGGAAGAAGGGTTACGTTGTCAAACTGCCAAAGAAGGGAGACCTCAGTGTTTGCAAGAACTGGCGCGGAATCACTCTCCTGTCCACCCACAGCAAGCAAAATATTAAGCCGCATCATCCTGGAGAGGCTTAAAGACGCACTGGATTCGAAACTACGACCGGAACAGGCAGGCTTCAGGAAGTACAAATCATGTGCAGACCAAATTGCAACGCTATGCTACGCATCATCATAGAACAGAGCATAGAATGGCAATCAGCTCTCTACCTCAACTTCATCGACTTCGAGAAGGCCTTTGACAGCGTCGACCGAGAAGTAATTTGGAAACTGCTTCATTACTACGGAGTACCGCAAACCTTTATCCGCCTCATTCAACAACTATATGAAGATGCCACATGCCAAGTAATTCACAATGGGAAGCTCAGTGATGCTTTTGAAGTGAAGACAGGAGTGAAACAAGGTTGCCTACTATCCCCCATGATATTCCTGATTGTGGTGGACTGGATCATGCAGCAAACAGTGGGGAGCGAGAAGAGGGGGATACGCTGGCTGGACTGCGGAAAAGAACCTAGAATATCTGGATTTTGTCGATGACTTGTGTCTGACGTCGCACAAACTTGAAAATCTACAGGCAAAAACTAACAAGTTGGTAGAAGAGGCAGCGAAGACGGGACTTCAAGTGAATATAGAGAAGACAGAGGTGATGAAGATACCCACCCAACCAACGCAACCACCACCAACAACAACAAACTCCAGTCACCATCAACGGGAGAAACTTAAAGGAAGTAACCTCCTTCACCTATCTAGGAAGCACTGTTTCAACTACAGGCGGGATAGACGAGGATGTCAAAGTCAGCCAGGATCGGAAAAGCAAGACAGGCGTTCATTAGCCTGAAACCAGTGTGGAGATCTTCTGCACTCAGCATGTGGAACAAGATCGAAAATTTCAACACCGACGTCAAGTCAGTGCTTCTGTATGGTTCAGAGACTTGGCGCGTCACGAAAGGGATTTCCAATAAACTACAGACATTCATCAACAACTGCTTACGCTCGCTACTGAAGATTAGATGGCCAGAAAGAATAAGCAACAAGGTGCTCTGGGAACGAACCAACCAAGAACCTATCACCCAACAAATATGGAGGAGGAAGTGGAGATGTATTGGGCATACACTGAGAAGGCCGACTGGGGACATCACGCGTCAGGCCAGTCACTCAAGTGGAATCCCCAGGGGAAGCGACGAGTTGGGTGTCCCAGGTGAGGGTGACATGGAGGAGGTCGTGCGAGGAGGAAATGAGAGCTTGTGGGCAGTCGTGCAGGGAGGTTCAAAAGATCTCAGAGAACAGAGGTCACTGGAGGCGTGCTACTGAAGCCACTAGGAACCCAAGGGACTAATAACAATAATAATAATTTACCCAACCTTGCGAAGCGGTCTGTAGAAACATCTAATTTGGGTATAAAGATAGAAGTAACCTAGTCAATTGACTACGTCACCTACTACAGAAGTTGCTTTACTCTTGATGACGTGGTCTTTTTTGACTTTGATCGGCAATACATCTATCACCTTATTAAAGAACACAATCCTCAATTGTCGGGTATTCGGTAGTGGATGCTGTATGTGGCGGAATTACAAAGTGGACACTTCGTCGTCAGGCATCACTGCACAACAGTACAAGTTGCCAAACTTTACATCATCACATTACGCGAGTAAGCACTAAGATGTAAGAATCGGTCAAAAGCGGAAAGTAATAAAAGAGAAGGTGATACCGAATTCAGTATGACGATTAAGATGAGGACAATCAGGGTATACATGTGCGCCACTGAGGTCGATTATGAGCCACTTAATCTACGGTCTTCAACCGCTAGCTTCTGCTGTCAAACAGACCCCGACACGGCTCAGATCAAAGACTTCATGCAAAGGTGATACTTTTTAGTCTGGCCGCCTCTAAACCTTTTTAGTCTAAACCTACTCCAGCCAATATTGTGACGAGGCAGGAGGTGATTAGGGATGCGAAACATATCCCATGCACCTCAGTCGATGAAGGTTCACTAACTTACTTTCTTCTTTTTCAAGGAACTCTGCGCCTGTCTTCTGCGTTACTGAAAGTGGTAACCCTATGAGACACGGCCTCTGCTACAAAGGCAACAGTCGTCAAAGAACTGAGGCCTTCGCATATCTCTTACCTTTGTTTCACGGTAAAATAGAAAAGCGTACTGCAACACAGTACACTCGATCATAATCGACAATTAAATATCACGGTTGCCACACAGGTTGTCATAAGTCAAACGAGCATTATGTATCCGTGCAGAGATTTTGTCAGTCACCAAGGTTGACCTGGCTGCATAAGTAAAGCGATCAACGCGCCCAAGTATTTCATCCCTTATTGTTAAACAAGGTACCACTGGAAACCAGTCATGGAACAACAATTTGCATTTGGGTGACGAGAAACACGTCGCAAATATTCTTACGGTGTTCACAAGACTGCATGTTATCACAATCTCCACCTAACAGGGCTGAGTCTTCTGCGTACTCTAGATCTACTGGAGTACGCAGAAGATTAAGGATTCTGTGATAAGATCAATTCCTGTGAAATAAGACGATGAGAGATACCTCCATAAGTACATCTGTGCTAAAATTGAGTAAGAATAGAGAATGGACATCCTTGAAAGACATCATTTGATGTACACAATTCCTTTGACAAACCACCATGGGGTTTATCACAACCACGGGTATTCAAGTGCAGAGCCTTCAACTTGCTTGTACTTGCTTGGCACGCCTTTCGTTGAGGAGTGGATTGCCAGCTACAGGTCGAGGAATGCAGCTAGTGTTGGGCATCGGTCAATGTGTCTGTTTTCCGGAACCTGTGAGAATGGATATTTAGTCAATACACCCTTGGGCAGGTCTGAAGCCTGCCTGGTTTTCTCGGGTTCGCTGTTTTTGAGCTCCACTGAGACGTTCAATGATTATTTAAGAGTGACATGGATGAGCGGTTCATGAAATCACTGAATGTTCGTCTGTAGCATGTAGGTCAGGTGACTAATCTTCATAGAACGCTCGGATAAAAGTTTAAAAGCTTACATAGCTTTGATTTGATTGAAATCACCTAGATATGTTTACTTTATGTTCTTCAAATCTTGAGCGTTTCACCACTTTATACCCATCCATCATTCCGTTTTTATGTTTTGTTTTCAATATACCTCATGTTTTAAATTTTATTCGTTTTTAAAAAGAATGAAAACCTGAACGGACATACATTCGTGTATAATTCTGCTTTATATCATTATGTCTATGCTTCGTGAGATAAATGACAGAAGGGATTGATGTTGAGTTTATTAAGAGCATAGCAAGATGGATGATGAAAACCAATAATTTTTATAACTGCAAATCAAAAAACTACCTACACTTGAATACGTCATCAGTAAGACATACGAAGATCATTATATTTGTAACCAAAATCTTGGAAAAGTGAAGTTTGGATATCTTATGGCAAATAAATTTCGAAATGCATAGAAAATTTGTTAGACTCACATTTCAACTGCTTGTTGCTGATCACTGAGATTGCTAGATTCACCAAGAGTTGAAGCAATAGCGAACAGAGAAGGCTAAATAATGAAGAAATGAAATGATACATCGAAAAAGAATGATGAACGGTTAATACTACTGATGGTTCGAGAAAGCATCCACAATGATGGCGCATTCACGATACAACATTGCGACAGACCGTTTAGTGTGCGTGTCTGGTGTCAGATGACTTTGGCTGCTGATTTCAATATGACACCAAAAGATACTTATTTTTGACCAGACAGATACTCCTTACAGAAAATATCTTGGTATTTTCCTGGCTCAAGTAATAAAGCAGAACAGTCGGCTCCGTTCAGCGTCCCAGCAAATTCTCGTCACAGACAGATAAAATCAAAGCAGGACCTCTGAAAGAAGTACATCGATCCTAGGTCCCACACTTCACAAAAGCCAACAAACAGAGAGTAGATAGAAAATAAGTGATATTACAGTGAAAAAACTATAAAAAACAAAGAGAATTCGAAAAAGGTGGGTCGATGAAAATATTCCGAAGTTACAGGCCGCAAAGAGAATTACACTGCGCCATTGTAATCAATCTCCTGTCATGTCACCGGAAGTATGCAGCCCTTCTCTACACAGCCCAAACTAACTGGTGCTAACGTTTTGGACCGGTCACTTAGCCTTTTTCAAACCTAATTCCGCTTCTCCTAGCATCCATGGCACGTCTAGGTAAGCAGTGGATCGGCATGCGCAATATATGTTCAAGCCATCTCAGTCAATGAAGGTTCACAACCTCATCAATCAACTCGCCTATCTTACCTACTACCCAACAGACTGACCTCAACACTGCTCACACAGTCATTCCATCGGAGGCGAGCAATGATATGAAGACATCTGTGATCAAAACTCAGTAACCGCATCGTATCTACATTCAACGAACATGTCTAAAGGCCGTATAACAGGACACAACGGACTGCAACGCAATTAACTCATCATTTGACAGATAGTCTGATATCTCTTCGGTTGGCGTCATAGACGACGCCAGTTGGCAAATGCAAACTGGGCCTTCTGTATCCCAGCTGAGATTCCGTCAGAACCACCCCTTCAAGCTGATGAAACTCCCAAACAAGTGAAGTGGTTGACACATTCCATCACTTCACTCCCTATCATTAAACGGAGAGTACTTGCAGCAGATCGGTCATGCAGCAACATCCTACATTTGAAAGATCCCAGCTAGATCCATGCCAAGTATACCCAGATTTCAGAACACCACGCATTTTCTCAGCGGGTTCACCTAGTAGGACAATGTCATCTGCATACTTCAAGTCAGGCCAGATTACCTTCAGGACGAAGATAAATGGCAACAGTGACTGTGAGGATCCTTGGCGGCACCACCGCTCGTCATCAATTCATATGACAACTCTCCACAAACCCTTACACGACTGCATGAATTCGAGTAGATGGATAGCTTCGATTAGTGTTACATACTTGCTCAGTACCCCCGTCACAGTCAGACACTACTACAACGCCTCACGATCGACACAGTTAAATGCCGCTGCATTCAGGTCAAGAAATATGACAAGTGTCGGCAGATGGCCGATAGGGATGTCTGTGTTCCGGAAATATGATCGGTACACCCTCGTCCAGTCCTGTCAGGAACCTGCCCGGTCTTCTCGAAATTGCTCTTCTTGAGCTCCAGTTACGCATAGAGTAACTACGGACCCTAGGGTCTAGGATACATTATTATTATTATTATTAGTCCCTTGGGTTCCTAGTGGCTTCAGTAGCACGCCTCCAGTGACCTCTGTTCTCTGAGATCTTTTGAACCTCCCTGCACGACTGCCCACAAGCTCTCATTTCCTCCTCGCACGACCTCCTCCATGTCACCCTCACCTGGGACACCCAACTCGTCGCTTCCCCTGGGGATTCCACTTGAGTGACTGGCCTGACGCGTGATGTCCCCAGTCGGCCTTCTCAGTGTATGCCCAATACATCTCCACTTCCTCCTCCATATTTGTTGGGTGATAGGTTCTTGGTTGGTTCGTTCCCAGAGCACCTTGTTGCTTATTCTTTCTGGAAATCCATCTAATCTTCAGTAGCGAGCGTAAGCAGTTGTTGATGAATGTCTGTAGTTTATTGGAAATCCCTTTCGTGACGCGCCAAGTCTCTGAACCATACAGAAGCACTGACTTGACGTCGGTGTTGAAATTTTCGATCTTGTTCCACATGCTGAGTGCAGAAGATCTCCACACTGGTTTCAGGCTAATGAACGCCTGTCTTGCTTTTCCGATCCTGGCTGACTTTGACATCCTCGTCTATCCCGCCTGTAGTTGAAACAGTGCTTCCTAGATAGGTGAAGGAGGTTACTTCCTTTAAGTTTCTCCCGTTGATGGTGACTGGAGTTTGTTGTTGTTGGTGGTGGTTGCGTTGGTTGGGTGGGTATCTTCATCACCTCTGTCTTCTCTATATTCACTTGAAGTCCCGTCTTCGCTGCCTCTTCTACCAACTTGTTAGTTTTTGCCTGTAGATTTTCAAGTTTGTGCGACGTCAGACACAAGTCATCGACAAAATCCAGATATTCTAGGTTCTTTTCCGCAGTCCAGCCAGCGTATCCCCCTCTTCTCACAGCTCCCCACTGTTGTCTGCTGCATGATCCAGTCCACCACAATCAGGAATATCATGGGGGATAGTAGGCAACCTTGTTTCACTCCTGTCTTCACTTCAAAAGCATCACTGAGCTTCCCATTGTGAATTACTTGGCATGTGGCATCTTCATATAGTTGTTGAATGAGGCGGATAAAGGTTTGCGGTACTCCGTAGTAATGAAGCAGTTTCCAAATTACTTCTCGGTCGACGCTGTCAAAGGCCTTCTCGAAGTCGATGAAGTTGAGGTAGAGAGCTGATTGCCATTCTATGCTCTGTTCTATGATGATGCGTAGCATAGCGTTGCAATTTGGTCTGCACATGATTTGTACTTCCTGAAGCCTGCCTGTTCCGGTCGTAGTTTCGAATCCAGTGCGTCTTTAAGCCTCTCCAGGATGATGCGGCTTAATATTTTGCTTGCTGTGGGTGGACAGGAGAGTGATTCCGCGCCAGTTCTTGCAAACACTGAGGTCTCCCTTCTTTGGCAGTTTGACAACGTAACCCTTCTTCCAATCAATGGCCAGGTACCTTCTCTTCCTTCCACACCTTCTGCAATAGTGGTGTGAGCATGTCCGCTGTTGTCTCTGCGTCTCTTCTCAGTGCTTCTGGCGGGATCCCGTCTGGTACTGCTGCTTTCCCACATTTCAGTAGCTTTATGGCGTTCAGGACTTCCATTTTTGTTGGAGGATTTATGTTCACTTGTAATTCAGCGGCTGCAGGTGGTATTTCTGGACGAAGTGCAGGTGGTGGTGGTGGTGGTGGTCGATTCAAGAGCTTCTTGAAGTGGTCGGCCCATCGTTTCCTCTGTTTCTCTCCTTTCGTAA